CGTGGGCCTCTAATCCTCTCGGCCGGACTCGTCGTAAGTCAGATTCGGAAGCAACTGGGTACGTGGCCTTCGCATCCTCTAGGTCCTGAAGAGCGAGGCTCGAGCTCCCAGCTAAGCTCCTCTCTCCCTCCAGGAATCCCCGCTACCCTTCTCGCCTTCCACCCCTTCACCTTCACTATCCGGAAATCAATCCTATCCTCTATAGCTAGGACTTATTTTCGACAAAAAATTTTTCTCTCTATCTAAATTATCCTACAAACAAACATCTCCCCACATCCGTAACAACCAAACAAAATGAACCCAAACCCTAATAGCCTGCTATCCACCGCAGAACAAATGAAACGTAATAATGCAAATCTCGCGAGAGAAGACACCAACACCGCAGATAGCCCAAACCTTAGTAATGCCCCCCTAAACCCAACACCATCCAACCTTACCCAAGGAAATATCCCGCCAGCCCCACCTCCCGTCGTCCCCATCCCCCCCAAGCCAAAAAACCCATCTGCGGCAAAAGCACCAACAGGTAGCACAAGCCATCCAGAAGCGACTAAGTCAGCAAACTTGTCAAGCATGAACCCCAAGCACCTGTTGTCCCTCGACAAAGTAGCAACAAGTGCCGAGAAACACCGTCAAGTGACGAAGCAAGCGAGAGATATTGCAACAATCCTGGGCACAAAAACAAGTGAGTAGACTGGTCATACCAGAAATCGACTGCCACAATCTGAAACAAAATAATCAATAATACTGATAATGATAAAACAGTCGATGTAGAGAAAGCGTACAAGGAGAGGACTATCGCAACGAATGCAGCCTTGCAATGTGAAGCGGAGAAGGACGAAGAAACCGCCCTCATACTCGAGAAGGCTTTCAAAGCAGACGCGGAAGGCGACAAGGTCAGAGCGGACATGTTCTATAAAATCTACGCCAAAATGGTCACATTGAAAGACGGCCCCTCCACACCTCAAGAGCATGAAGAGCAACGACATCAAGCAGAAGCTAGGATCGGTAAGAAGAATACAGTCGCCGGCGGGACAAATTTCAACTGGGGTGACGCCAATTCACACAACGACGTTGGATTCACCCCGTTCTTGAACAACAACATCCTCGAGTTAAAAGGGCCTCTGCCGTTGACTATCTTCAACAAGGCATGGCAAGACGCCGCCCTAGTTTGCCACGCTGAAAAAAGACCAAAAACGGACGACAATTCTACGGAAAAAGGACTCTGTTACACCGGGCTCCCGTACCCAAGTGAATGGTGTATGAGCTATAGCAACTGGAGTCTCAATTACGCTGAATTCATGGTGAGTAAAAAAAAAAAAAAAAAAAAAAAAAAAAAAAAGGGGGGGGGAAAGGAGTCGTACACTAAACAAAATCCTCCCTAACAGACCACGATGCGAGACGTCTATAAGTATGAGACTTTAGGTGAATGGATAATTCTCCACAAAGCCAACGTAGACAAGATCTTACGGAAAGATGGCTTCATGGTTGCCCTACGGTACGACATCAGGATCAGAGCAAATGCCTTCGCGCACCGGGTCGTGAAGAATGGAGTAAAATCCTTCTCCAACATCTCCATTTTCCGACAAGAAGTATACGACACCGCGTACGCGGAGGCAAGACGGTATGACGAACTTGTCTTCCGAGAAGTCAATCCTTACGCCATTGGTGGAGCAAGAGCGTTGTGGGACCCGCACACTGGCACCAAACCGGCATCGAAGTCGACCACAAACCTCCCCACAAGAAACACAAATCCCCCAACTCAGTCTGGATCCCATGGACCGAACCACCTCCCGGACAAGCCACGAGAGAGCAGAAGGGGATTGGGCTACCAAGGGAAGAACTACAACCCAAACCACTCAAGTGGTCAAGCACACACCAGCAGCCGGTGTGGAACTGCTCAGCGAATGAGTGAAGAGCTTGGAGGGGATAAATATTAATAAAACTATGAAATAGTAATAATAATAAATGGGTGTTGGTGAGACTGCCCTCCTTGTCTAGCTTGTGAGAGAGTTACACTAAGAAAAATAATAGTGTGGTAGATTTCTAAAATTTATCTTAGTGAAGATACTACCTATTGAGAATGTTGAGTTGTTTATAAGGGTGGATGGAATGGATGGTCAAGAGCTTCTGGAGTTAGGAGATATCTGAGGGTTTCTGGGTTATTCTGGTTTAATTTATTCTTTCTGGTTTCTCTGGTCTGTGAAGACTATTTCTGGATCTCTGGTTTAATCTCGGTCTTTAATAAAGTGAGAAGTGAGAAGGTAAAGTAATATCTCTTATTACTATTCTGTATCAGGTATGTAATGGGGGTTGATGAATGCTAAATAAGATCTCTACTTATTTCTCTGATGCAGACATGGGGAGGAAGGAAGGAAAAAATGAGCCAGAAAGGGCCTCTTTTTATAGACAAAATCTTTGGTGGGATGGTAAACAGCTTCACTGATGAGAATGATTGATCTGACTAGGTAATGACCTCATACTGCTAATTTAATGATGTCATGATGATGTCATGCTATGAAATTAATGATCTACAGCTGTGAAATTAATGATGTGCAGCTGTGGAATTAATGATGTGCTGTTGTGAAATCTATATTCTGCTGCTATGTTGGTTAATGATGTCATCTGTGTGATTAATGATCTGTATGTTGTGAAATAATGATGAGTGGCTGTGTATTTAATAAATGGCTGTGTAATTAATGAAATGGCTGTGTTATTAATTATTAATGATCTACTTAATTAATTAATATGATCTACTGGATGATTTTATGATTGGTTATTATATTATTCTGTTCTCTCCTGAATGGTTTTCAGCTTTATAACATCATATTATTTCTATTTCCTTCTTGACCATTTTTGTTATGTTGTAAGATCTGTTTTGTAATTATATATATATATACTTTTTAATCTTCCTTGTATGTTTTATACCTTTATTCTGTTTAGTGTAAATATATATAAAATAAAATATCAAGAAAAATTAACTATGATTTGAGAATAAAAGGCTTTATCATGACTATCTGTTATTATTACCTGCTTTATGAAATTTATATTAAATATTTTAAATATGTCTTTTAATGTTTTATGGGTTTGATGGGTCTTACCACACCGGTCCCACAACGGAGACAAGGATGGGAGGTAGGTTACTTCAATCTAGATAAACACAAGCCCCCCCCCCCTCTCTCACATCTCCTAATCCACCCCAAAACGACTCCGTTGGTTTTCCTTTTTGTCCCACTCCACAATCATATGACCCCCCCCCATGAACCGATTCTTATTATCGACCGCCCCCACCTCGGAAATCCAAGACTCCGAAATCATAGTTAGAAATTTGTATCTACATTAGTTTAAAACAAACATACCGTTTGCAATAAGTAATACAAATATGATGGTCAACATTTGTGCGAATGAATCCTGACATAGAGATTCTTCTGATCCATAGTGAGAAGCAAGGAAATAGCTACCCGAGAGAGTCAATTGAATGGCCGGTAGAGCATGCCGTGACAAGTGTCAAAGAAACCTTCACATGGCCTGCAGGAGTAAAGTGCGACATGAACATCCCAAAGTGGGAGATTGCACTGGCAAACGCGAATCTAACATCAACCTACAAAGACGTACTAGAAGGATTTGTAGAGGGTTTCCACCAAGGGATCCCAGACTACAATCTAGGACCGGAAATCCCTTTTTATGCCCCTCCTAACCACAGCTCCGCACTCCAAGCCCAACCAAAAATAGAAGAGTCAATCCAAAAAGAGATCACGGCAGGAAGGATGTTTGGACCCTACTCATTTGAACAAGTACATAAGAAATTTGGGTTCTTCCAAACAAATCCACTGGGAGCCGTAGTAAACAGAGACGGCTCCCTGCAAGCCATCAACGACTTATCTTTTCCCCACCGCAAGACCGGAATCCCATCTGTTAACTCATTCGTCAACAAAGAAGATTTCGACACCACTTGGGATGATTTCAAGGCAGTAGCAAAGTTCCTGAGGAACCAAAAGAAGACAGCGCTCCTAGCCATTTTTGACTGGGAAAAAGCGTACCGCCAAATCCCGACGGCTCCAAGCCAATGGCCGTATCTGATGCTATGGAATTTCAACGACCAAATAGTCGTCGACACAAGGATTGCCTTTGGAGGAGTCGCAGGCTGCGGATCCTTTGGCAGACCGGCTGATGCATGGAAAGAAATCATGCTTGCAGAGTTCGACCTCATCACAATCTTCAGATGGGTCGATGATAATTTATTTGTTAAAGAGTTAGCATCAACAGTTGAAATGGATGAGATAGTAGCCCGGTCGGACGAACTAGGGGTAAAAACAAACCCGACGAAAATTTCACCATTCAGGTTAGAACAGAAGTACATAGGATTTATATGGAATGCAGCGGAGAAAACGGTTCGGCTACCAGAAGAGAAGACACAAGCAAGAATCAAACAGATACAAGAAATCCTAGTACACGGGAAAGAATTCACGTACAAACAAATAGAAATTATGACCGGGCGCCTGAACCACGTATCCTACATGCTCCCTCAACTCCGATGCTATCTGTGCAGCCTGTACCGGATGATGAATAATTGGGTCTTCTGTCATGTCCCCCGACCATTACCGCTAGACGCCAGGCAAGACATGCTTTACTGGCTGAAGACCCTATTAGCCTTTGATCGGACAAGGCTGATTGCAAACCCAGAACCAACGGAAATTGGGTGCGTGGGGGACGCGTCAACCAACTACGGGATAGGAGTCTTAATTGGTAAATGCTGGGCCCAATTCAAGGTGAGACCCGGCTGGAACAAAGGAGATCTACCGCAACAAGGCATAGCCTGGATGGAAACTGCGGCGATACAAATCGGCCTACTGATGATGAAGGAATTAGACATACGGAAAGGAAAGACAATCATTGTTTGGACCGACAACACCACATCTGAAGATGCGGTGAAAAGCAGGAAGTCAAAAGACCTCCACGTAAACAAGGAGTGGAAGCGAATACAAGACATACTCCTAAGGATGCAGATTGATCTTGCCGCAAAGAGAGTAACTTCGAAGGAAAATAGGGCCGACGCCCTGTCAAGAGGAGATAGGAAGGGTCACCTACTCAAGAACCAGGTGGTGATAGACCTTCCTCAAGACTTGGAAGCACTGATGTTTCAGGCTAGCAGTTTAGACTGAAACACGAAATGGCCCTAGTTAAATCCAAACTTGTTTCTAGTTAGATCCATGTACCTAGCTTAAATACGCCCTTCCTACTCATCTCAGGAAGCTGCTCCTCCCTTCCTTGTGTAATCCAAATCCTAATTTTCTATTCCCAAACGGGCACTTCCCTCACTGGAGCCTATCCTCAAACTCTCGTGCTAGGCTTAAGTAAAATAAAAACCTTCTTAGCAAACGGATGCCAACTAAGAGACACAACTTCCCTCAACATACATTTCCTTATGGGGTACAAATGGAACACACTCCTTAGTTATAATGCGGCCGCCAGGAAATTTATGAAGTATAAGATCGCCGTTAAAGAAACACGTTTCGTTTTCCCCATCTTGGCCGGAGATCTCTACGGATTCTGTTACTGGGCCGGGAAAAACATAGACGAGTATGACGAACAAGACGTATGCGCAAAAACCTTGGCAAAGTACTTATACGGTATTCAAGCATGGCACTTATATCATTCCGTGGAATACCCTGCGGAGTCCAAGGACAGAATAACAGTCCTCCTCCAAGCATCCGCACACGCCGACGCTGAATCGCCGCCTAGGCCAGTAAAAGCCCCAGTGACCATGGCGCAACTAGTCGCCCTAACCGACCATCTAGTATCCGGCGATGACCAAAGTAAAGCAGTTTTAGACTTGGCCATAGTAGCGTTTTGGGGGATGGCAAGGTTAGCCGAAGTTACATACGACTGCGCCACAGGCCCGCTTCAAAGGACCGCCTCCCTTATGACCACGGACGTAAGATTTGTAGAGACTCAAAGCAGCACCGTCGTCGAGTTAACGATCAGAGGAGCAAAAACATGCTCCCCAGGGGAATCACAAAAAATCCTACTCCATAGCATGGCCCATATGCTCTGCCCGGTCATGGCGGTAAAGCGAAGGCTAGGAGAAGCAAGGAATGAAGATATTTCCCTATTCGGTCATGGAAACGGTCTCCGCGGAAGGTCTCACCTCACCAAATCATCTGTGAGAAAGGTTCTATCTTCTTCCTGGAACCGCCTAGGATTTCCCAACCTAACAGGGCATTTGTTCAGGGTAGGAGGGGCCTCTCTGCACTGTGCTTTAGGTGTCCCAGTCGCGGAAATTTGTAGACTCGGGAGATGGACGTCTGGATGCTATAAGCTGTACCTCCGGGTGTATCAGGAAGAGGATGTTTTGCTACTTTAGAGTTATTAAAAAGTTTAGAGATAGCATGGGCTGAGCAATAAATCTACCTCCCTTTTTAATGGTTTCAGTCCCAAAACCCCCTAGGAAAGAGTGTGGAGAATTGGCCCGGGAGGATCGCCGAGCTAGGCTCTGAGCACAGCTGCTCAGAGAAATGGGTCGAGCTTTGGCTCTACTCAACCGGTGTGTCCTCCTGCTCCGGGGTGAGCTTAGGCGCTCTCTTGCGTTCTCCGTTGGCTAGACTGTCCCTGTCAGCCTTAGAGCCAGCCAAGCTGGCCAAAAGACTGCCAAAACTGCCCATTTCTACTCCAAATATTATCTATCTTTTTCATCTTAAGACTTTTATGTAAAATTAACCCTAGTCACCACTGATCACTTTTGACCAACTCCATTCCTTCATTGAATTTGTAACAATTCACAGTACTCCAAGAATTATTCCCACCCTTAGGTTTCAGCTCCCTCTACCACATGTACATACCAGATTACATAATACAACTTTGAAAATCCTCTCTGAGCTTGTTGATTCCGCTTCCAGAGGATTTTCAGACTCCAGACCAACACAGAACCACAACACCCAGACCCAGATCAAGCCATCACTTATCAACCAGAAGTACTCCACTTTTCCCACCTTTCCCACTACACAGTGTCATTGGTGTCATTAGTAAGTAACTTCTCATAAGTTTTAGCTAGCATCTTTCTGCTTGTTTATTCTCTCAGTCTCTCTCAACCTTTTCTCTACTTCTCCAAACCAAAGCCCTGATCCAAGAAAGCAAGCCATAGCTGCTATTACCTCAATTCTCCCTGTTTGGTAGTATAACTGAAAACTACATAGGTTTCCCTTTAAAGAGCCTTGATCCTTGATCTAAAAAATTGTGGATTGATCTGATTCATCAGTTCAATATCCCATTTCAGTTTTTGTTGATTTGGAGGCGTCAGAGTTAGCTCCGCTTATTACCAGCCATCCTTAGTGGAAAGTAAGACTGCTCAACTTAATTCATCATCTTAAAATAAATAAAGAACAAAAATATTATCTCTTTTCCTTCAGTCTTTCATCCCCCCTTTCTCTACTTTTATTTGTATTCCTCTTTTCTTAAGAAATACATATAAAAGTGCCCCCCATATCTTGTGTCCTGCTGTCACTATAGAGACCCAGGCTCTTTGGATGCCGGGCGGTACCTTCTGACCGGAGGCTATGTGAGACGCCTTGCCGGTTCGTGTGCCATTTGCCACCACCTTGGCACTCTCACCCCCTCCCCAATCCACACTCGGGAGTCTCGGGAACTTGGCTGTGAGCATCCAGGTTCCAGGAATCCCTAGGTATCCGCAAGATACTGAATAAGTACAGGAACACACAAGCGGCGCCGGTGCTCTAGCACCGCGTTGATGGGTTCCGCACGCTCTAAGAGCAAGAGGAGTAAGGGGCCGGGTTATTCTAACCAGCTTCCCCCCTCTACTCCTCCAACCACTAGAAGGCATAGTGGATGGTAGCTTTCCGAAGAGTAGCGTAGGTGGGTGTCGTCCACGGCGCCGCCAGCCTTCTAAAAAGAAGGCCACGTAGCCAGGCTACCCACGTGGGCCTCTAAGCCTCTCGGCCGGACTCGTCAGAAGTCAGATTCGGAAGCAACTGGGTACGTGGCCTTTGCATCCTCTAGGTCCTGAAGAGCGAGGCTCGAGCTCCCAGCTAAGCTCCTCTCTCCCTCCAGGAATCCCCGCTACCCTTCTCGCCTTCCACCCCTTCACCTTCACTATCCGGAAATCAATCCTATCCTCTATAGCTAGGACTTATTTTCGACAAAAATTTTTTCTCTTACCACCCGCCCACCCAGGCAAAAGTAAGAGATGGGTTGGGTCGAGCTTCGGCTCTACTCAACCGGTGTGTCCTCCTGCTCCGGGGTGAGCTTAGGCGCTCTCTTGCGTTCTCCGTCGGCTAGACCGTCCCAGGCTCTTCGGATGCCGGGCGGTACCTTCTGACCGGAGGCTATGTGAGACGCCTCGCCGGTTCGTGTGCCATTTGCCACCACCTTGGCACTCTCACCCCCCCAACCCACACTCGGGAGTCTCGGGAACTTGGCTGTGAGCATCCAGGTTCCAGGAATCCCTAGGTATCCGCAAGATACCGAATAAGTACAGGAACACTCAAGCGGCGCCGGTGCTCTAGCACCGCGTTGATGGGTTCCGCACGCTCTAAGAGCAAGAGGAGTAAGGGGCCGGGTTATTCTAACCGGCTTCCCCCCTCTACTCCTCCAACCATTAGAAGGCATAGTGGATGGAGCGTTAATGGTGTTGTAGAGGGCTTCTACCTTCTATTTACATGTCACCACCTTTTTCCAACTCGTCCATAATTGCCATTCTAAAATCTACTCAAACCAAACACACCCAAATAACCTTAACCTTCTCTGACCTTCCTCACCTTCCCCATTATAATCCTTGGTTCCGCTGTGGTAGTCAAAAATGTGAAAATTAAAAGTTTTTTTCTTTTCTTTTCTTATATATATATTTCTTCATATTATCACCCAAACACTCTCAGAATTCACACCATACGGCTCAAGAACTGGACTCTACGGATAAATCCACCCTTGGTCACCACGGAGGCGTCACTGGAACACACCTGGATCAACTCTTACCCAACACTGGACAACATATCACAAGGATTTCACCCATCATTACATATCACCAAACTCAATTACAACCCTCAAGCTACACAGACACCCTCAGGACAGTACAAACCCCATTTACACATACACTCTTTACATTTCACTTCTACATATTACATCATACCTGCAGCCTAAATTAGTGTATTTTCCTTGCATGACAGCTGCAGCTTACACCACCACACTCACTTGTAAACACATCAGAACCTGACCAATCAGAATCACTCATTCAGCTGTTTGGATCACCACTTCAACACTTGTACATGTCTGACCAACCACATTCACTCATTCAAATTTTGTATGTAGCTAAGAAACCTCATGTAATAGCCCAGGCCAGCCAAAATCACTCATTACTGGCTGCCCTGGAGCTAAATTCCCTCACTGTTGTATATATAAAGAGGCTCTCCTCCCAGCTGTTTAATCCTCAGTCAAGTAACACTCAAGCAATATTTGACCACCCTTACACAACACTTTAAAGCGCCAACCAAACCAAATCAACAACTCTTCATCACACAAACTCATTCCTGAACTTTACCCTATCACTTGATTAAAACTTGCCAAGCTGAGCTTGGTGGGTCTTGTTATCTGATAGTATAGAAGGGCAGAGCTTACACTCCATCATCCCCTTCTCCATTCAGCAAAAAGGGTCTTACAACCACTTTTTGAGTCCTACAAGGGAGTCCCCAACGTGATAGGATAAACTTGTGTGATCTACATTAAGTGATCAAATTTCAACATATAACGAGAAGGAATTGCCAAAGGATCACGAACTTTAGCGGGAACCGGATCAAAGTTATCAACCATATTTGCGACACTCAACGGCATATTCAGTTATTCTGTTGATTGACTAGTCAGTCTCATAAAATCAATTTAACGAAACAACTACTAAACCCTGAAAAAGAACGTACACCCACCATACGTGAAAAAGAGGACTCGAAGAAGGCGGCCAATTGTATACTGGAAGAAGGTTTAGGACCCGAAGGATCCGGATAATTGAGATACAGTTTGAAGACAACTCTGAAATTTGCTCGAAGAAGGCGGCCAATTATATACTGGAAGAAGGTTTAGGACCCAAAGGATCCGGATAATTGAGATACAGTTTGAAGAGAATTTCCCCTCATTGTTAAGTGATTTTATTATTATTAAAGGAAAACCAATTTGCCCTGGTAAAGAGACCAGAGACCATATTATTATTTGTTTCTTTTTCAGAGCAACAGTTAGTTAGTTAACCGAGAATTAGTTTATCGAGTCAAACTGGATCCCTCAACAACAATCGACATGAATTTACCTTTCAGTACCCCAGATTTGGAGGATGGGTTTGCAGCCTCGACCCCCTTAAAGAACCAACCTCCTTTTGCAGGACCATCAAGTTTTAGCTGGAATCAAGAACCTATTGGACCACCGCCGAAAGGAAAAGGAAAGGCCTCTGCAACACAATTACGAGACCCAGATGATGAGTTATCTGACGATGAAAACATCACTCCTCAAAAATACGGCAATCAACAAGTACCCCCTCTGTCAGGCTATGGAATGCACAGTACCCAAAACAAGGGGGAAGACGTCTTTTCTCGACACAATCAACAAATACCGCAACAAAACATACCTCAACAGCCCGTATATCCACAACCAGCTTACCATGCGTCACCTAAAATCATTAAAGAACCTGGCCTCTTCTACGATGGGGAAAATTTTTCAAAGTTTCTACGACAATTTGAAAGAGCGGCACAGGCATTCCAAGCATCAGACTACGAGAAGGCCCTTCAAATAGGCCGCTTCATGAAAACAGAAGAACTCAGAGATCAAATAGAAGCCATGGACGGATATATAGCATACGATTGGCCCAAGTTAAGAAAAGAAATGATTGACACCTGGGGCGGTTTGGATAACACGATTTTATATACGACCAACAATCTAGTCAAAGTTACCGAAGAAGTAGCCGCAAAAGGAGGCATCAAGACCAGTCGCGAGCTAACGGCCTATGTAACCAAATACACCTCTATTATGAAGTACCTGATCACCAATGGGCACATTCACAAGGAGGAAGACACCTCAATTCTGTTCATGAAAGCATTTTCAAAAGAAAGTCAGCAAAACATAAAACGGCATCTAGTCAGCTATGACTTACTTCCCAAAGGACCGGATGGAAATAATCTACCTCCTAAATGGGCTCACTTAGTCAAAGTTGCAGAAATGGAAGTCAGAATTGTGCAACCTGGATACCTGGACGTCACCAACACCAATTTTTCAGAAGCAAATCAGTTAATGCAGAAGAGATTGGATGCCCAGAAAGGTGACAGTCAACGACGGAACCAAATGATAGCCGAAACTCCGAGTGAAAAAACCATGGTCGACAAGAACATAGAAGACATGGCAAAGGAAATTGCTTCGTTAAAACAACAACTAAAGAGTGTTTTGTCGGTAGCCTACAACCAGCCTAGTCATCTGGAACAAACCGAATTCTTGAGGGGAAATGCCAGGCCCTCAACACCTTTGTATGAAAGTCAGATATGTTTTTACTGTAGAAGAGAAGGCCACGTCACACACCGATGCCCGGAACTACAGAAAGACGAAAGCGAGGGACTAGTACAGCGAAGTGGGAAAGACTGGTATCTACCTAATGGACAACATATACCATGGGTTCCATCTAGACCTATACAATCCGTAGTGGCCACAGCCTCGGCAGACCCAGCGATACAGGAAGCTGCCAAGCGACTTGTGGAACAGAGAAAAGCAGGGCAGGTACCCACGGGAATGGATTCAGCCATGAAGACCTCAATGCAAATAATAGACTGGGACCCTCCGGAACTTGGGGCTGATAATTTCCTAAAGAACCATGCAGTCACACGATCAGACGCTCAGAGAGGAAGGAGGACCGTTCGAATCCAGGAACCTGAAGACAATTTGATGAACGTTGATCAGGAAGAAGACATTGCCAATCTAGACCAAGAAGCTACAATAATGCCACCCAAAAAATTCTGGGGAAAGGAAAAGGCAAAATCCAAGTCAAACTCAGTTTTGCCAGAGGCAGCCCTGCTACAAGATTTAGATCATTTAAAAATCCCTACGACATTTGCGCAACTTACAACACTGTCACCTTTATACACGGAGCAGATCATTGCCAAACTTCAACAACGACTGCCGGGCAAAAGCAGTGCTACCTATATGACCTCAGAAGAACATAAGGTGGCGGCAGCTATGACGACTCAGGCAGACAAGAATGAACCTACCGATCCGTGCTACTATAGCTGCGCCCTGGGATATGTGACCGCCAAAATAGGGGGAGCCAAAATCGATTGCATGATAGATTCTGGATCCATGGTGAATGTCATTCCTTACTCTGTGGCCGAAGATTTGGATTTAGAAATAGTCCAGGTAGACATACCCATGAAAGGCGTAGGCGGAGCAAGATGCGACCTGAATGGTGTAGCCGAAAACTGCCCTGTTGGGATTGGACAATTCTCGGGCCCGGCTCATCTGTTTGTTTCACCCAAAGCTCAAGATTGCATCCTTGGACAGCCATTCCTGTTTGACTACGGATGCACACTAGAATATCACGAGACTGTCGAAACACTTTCTTTCAAAGGAACCAAGGGGAGGAGGGTTTCTGTGCCTTTAGCTAACGTCGGGCAGGGGAAAGGGTGGAATGATTGCAAAGACCTCGGTAGCCACAGTTTCAGATCCACATCCGATCCGGGAACGGAAGAACAACACATGTTCAAGAAGAAAACCGCTCAGCCTTTTTTCTGAGTTCCGGTGTTCACCTAGGGAATAACTCGTTAACGCTAGTGGAGCAAGTTACGTCTCGAACACCGGCTTACCAGGACTGGCTTCTTGTAAATTTTATACGACAATTACCAAAACTAACAAAAAAATGTCTCTGTAAGTTAATTTCACTATTCAAAAATATCCGATTTATGTTGTTTTTTCTTTCAAAAATTTGTAAAACAGTTCGAAAACGATGGAACACCAGACAGTCAATTGGGGCAAAAAATGAAGTAACAATCACCTCGAATGCACTCAAAATTGCTGAGGAACCAAGGAAAGAGGAAGTGAGGACATTACTCACAAATGGATTAGGCATAAGTTTTCAACAGAAATTGTGCCAGATCTGGAAGGAGGGAAGCCTGTGGTGTATGACTAAATACAAACCTGTGGCTAAGAAGATCCGACCTATAAATCAACCCATTCCTCAAGCTCTCAATCCGCCTCTGAAAAGACCACCACTCTCTAGAGATCCGTATATAACCCCACTTACGCCTAACCCGCCAGATTTCCAACCAACAGCAAAAATCACTGAAGAACGCCTGAAGGTATTCAACTTTGGACCAGAAGGATGGCTCTCAAACAAGGAACTAAAGCTATTCAAACATCTGATTGCTTTACGGGAAAAGGCCTTAGCATTTTGCATGGAAGAGCGTGGACTATTAAAACACTCTTATGGGCTACCCTATGTCATACCAGTAGTGGATCACATACCTTGGCAGAAGAAACCTATTCCAATTCCAGCAGAAATAAAAAACGAGTATGTGGAACTAGTTCGGGAAAGAATTAGGACGGGTCTTTACGAACAATCAACATCAAGTTACTCAAGCCCAGTATTCTGCGTAGCAAAACACGATGGAAAGCTACAAATTGTTCATGACTTACAGGAAATGAATAAAGTTACCATTAAGGACGCAGGCCTTCCTCCGGCGACTGAGGAATTTGTAGAAGCTTTTGCAGGACGCGCTTGCTACGGATTGGGCGATATCATGGGAGGATATGACGAACGAGATTTAGCGCAAGAATCTTGACCACTGACCACTTACGATACCCCTCTTGGAAGATTTCAACTCACACGTTTACCTCAGGGGGCCACTAATTCGGTAGCAGTATATCAGGCGCAAATGATGTGGATACTCCAGGATGAAATACCCGATAACGTAGGCGTATTCATTGACGATGGAGGAATCAAAGGACCTAGTTTGGATTACGATAACAAAAGCTTGGACAAAAACCCAGGAATTCGGCAGTTCATCTGGGAATATGCTCAGACATTAGAACGGGTATTATTCAGGATTGAAGAAGCTGGACTCACTATCTCCGGGAAAAAGTTTGCTTGCTGTGTCCCAGCTCTGGACATTGTAGCTCACGTGGTCTGTAAAGAAGGACGACGGGTTTCAGCTCAGAAAAAGAATAAGATTACGGCCTGGCCAACCCCAAATTCACTTACAGAATTACGAGGATTCATGGGAATACTAGTTTACGTCAGAATTTTCATCAAAGACCTCTCTGAAATTGCCGCCCCGCTCAGAAGACTCACAAGGAAGGACTCCGAATGGGAATGGACCCAAGAATGTGACAAGGCCTTTCACAAGCTAAAGCAAATAGTTGGGGAGGATATCACCCTGAAAAAGCTAGATTACTCCAAGGACGCAGGATTAATTATTTTGGCCGTGGATTCTAGTTTTATGGCGGCCGGGGCAGTACTATCACAGGAAGAACTGGAAACAGGATTAGCACTACCAGTTCTCTACGAATCTATAGTTTTCTCACCCGTGGAATCGTCTTATTCTCAGCCAAAACTCGAACTCTGTGGGGTTTCCAGGATCCTGAAAAAGCTTCAAACACTTTTATGGGGCCAACACTTTGAGCTTCAAGTAGATGCGCAATCCTTAATTCAGATGATCAATTCTCCGTCATTACCTAATGCACCAATGACCCGATGGATGGCGTTCATTCAGCTTTTCTCATTTGACATGGTACATAAGCCAGGCAAAACCTTCACGTTACCAGATGCGCTGTCCAGGCGACCCATCAGCGACGATGAGGAGGAATTCTATGAGGACGCAGCCGACTTTGACAAAGATGAACCTGTAATCAAAGCATGCTTTCAGTATACAATAACCTCTCAATCAACAAAGCTAATGGAATGGGAATCATTAGGGTTTTGGAAGGATCTTAAGGAATACCTTGGGACCCTGAAGAAGCCAGACGGAATGGACCCCGGGGATTTTCAAAAGCTAAGAAGAAAATCAGCCAATTTCTTTATCCAAGAGGGACGACTCATGCGACGACACACGCCCATGGCACAGCTAGTCATCTCCAACATACCGTACCAAAGCCAACTATTAAGAAAATTCCACAAGGATCTTGGCCACAGAGGACTTGAGGAAACGTATCAGCGCTTGGTTTGTCGGTTTTGGTGGCCCAGCCTGAAAAAGAAGGTCAAGTTATGGGTACAGAGTTGTGAACCTTGTCAGAAGAGGGATGCTCTAGTGCCAAGAGAAATTCAAAATCCAACTGGCAAAAGTAGTCTATTTGGACGGGTAGCGTTGGACGTTTGTCATATCAAGGCCGGACGATATACGTACCTGCTGGTGGCACGTGACGACTTATCTGGATGGGTAGAGGCAGCACCTTTGGTAAAATTATCTGCAGCTAATATCAGTAAATTTCTTTTGGAAGAGTGGGTCTAAAGATATGGTTCAATTAGGACTGTAACTGCTGACAATGGACCAGAATTTAAGAGTGAATTTATTGAAGCTGTGGAAAAGATTGGTGCCACTCTGCAACCACCAACACCATACTATCCCGAGGCGAATGGAATGATTGAACGAGGTCACCGGCCAATCAAAGATACACTGATCAAGATGTGTGGCGAATCCGGCGGAAAATGGAGAGAATATTTACCATTAGTACTTTTTTCTGACAGAATTTTGACAAAAAGATCAACTGGATACTCACCGTATGAGATTGTCTTTGGGAAGAAAGCGGTTTTACCAGTGGATATTGATATGGACACCTATCTTGGAATTGACTGGACAGAGGTGAACACAACTGAAGAACTGCTTGAGGCTCGAACAAAACAACTGGAACGAAGGGACGAGATCTTAACACTGGCCCATGAAAAACTAATGAAAAATCAAGAATCGTCAGTCAGATACTGGGACCGGCGAATGGCAGCAAGACTCAGGAATCCTCTGGACCCCGGAGAACTGGTTCTGGCTTACAATAAAAGTCTGGAAGACCAGTGGGGGAAACTTTTTGCTCACCGTTGGAATGGACCTTTTCGCATCAAGAAACAACTTCCCAAAGGCTCTTATATTCTAGAAGAACTAGACGGAGTGGAATTGAAAAGGGCTTATGCTGCCTCACACATCAAACGGTTTTACCCACAAGGACGAGACTTTCATGATATTCAAGAAGATGAGGACCCAGACCAGGAAGATGCTTCGGAAGACGACTCAGAAGAACACTCCTCAGTGGCATCAGAATAATCGTACCTCCTGGGCATGAGACTAAACTGTTCACAACACACATCAAATTACAAAAATTTAGCTCAAAATTCTTTCAAAAATCAGGCGGATGATTAATTTTCTAAGTTGGGGGAGGACTCACATTCTTTTATACGTCACTCTTTACTAGCACCCTCCTTCCATGAACCTCTTATTTATTTATCCCATTACTTCAATTCCACCACATTTCTTGCTTTCTCTTCATGACCAATAAACTAAAAAAAAAATCTTAACTTAAGAATTCTACTACTCATATCAGCCTTCAAAAACCTTATTCTTACCCTTCCCTTTTACATTCTCTCCTTCTTAAGACTATCTTTTGAATACTCACAATTCTTCCAACTTTTCTTTCCTGAAAAATTCTTTTTGGACAAACTTTTTTCTGTCTTCTTCCATTTTTTTCAGCTCACTTTAATCTCTCACTCATTTATAGGCTTGGCCACTCATCTCAGGTTAAGGACAACCTGTAAAGTTGGGGGAGGGGTTTGGGATAGTATTGAAAAAGAAAAAAAGAATCAAGAAGCAAGTAAACTAAAATGAACTAACAAGAGAATAGTTTTTTTTGGATTTTGTAGATTATAAAAATTTTTTTTGGGGTTATAAAAATTATCTAACGATTTTTTTGGCTTTAGGAAAATTTTACCCCTTTACAGACAGTACTCAAACCAGGAAGAACTTAATCTAGGATCAAAAACAAAAACAATAAAAAGATCAAAACAATTAGTATATAGGCTGTGAAAAGAAATAAAATCAAAAACCACTCACCCAAGTGACGGAAGTGTCGCCTAAGCGACATGTAACTGCGGTTAAGAAACTTGAAGTGACTAACCCGGTGAGCTTGATCGCCGGGAAACGAAGGGCGCTCCGCGTTACAATAGGCTACAAATCCACTAGCGGCCGACTGATAGAAGGCCGTAAACTCTCAAGGGCAAAAGGCGTACCAATCAAACCTAGCTGGATCCGCTCGACGACTGAGGAGGGAATCGATCTGATGATCCCTCAGGAGATGAAATTTGTCGACGTCGTAGAACCCAGGAGGATCGGGCGAGGCGACACGGGGCTGACGCGCAAACGGATAGGACTGGTTACTGGAAGCGGTGTGCTGACTGGAAGAAGATTCTAAATCATCTTCAGCTGAGACTGCAGACTCTTCTTGAGAGGCTGAGGTCGAAGTAGGTTGGGCGACATCGTCAGCGGATCGAACCTCGCTGGGCGTGCTCAGATTGCGTGGACGCGGAGCCGGCAGTAGCGTCCAGGGCTCATCAATGACAGCGCGGTTGGAACTCAGAAGCTAGAAACCCCAAAAACAAGATTACAATTAAAACACTCATTAGCAATTGTATCAACAAGGTGTATAGACTGTGAATACAAGATGAAACAATCACTGACCGACAAGAGGTGATTCAACGAAGAGCTGGCCACCTCAAAAGGACGACGGGCCACTGGCGAATTCGAGGAACCTCGGCTGCTCGAAGGAGGGCGACGCCACTCAGGTGTAGCTTGAGGTTGGAACGGCGGATTCGGATTCAACTCGGGGGTAGGACAGTGTTGATAAGGAGGTGAAGCTCCACCTCAATCTTGAGAATGGAGCCCCACCAACCCTGGGGGTACCCGATCAGCTCTAGAGGCTTGGGTAGCTTTGGGGGAAACCGGCCGGGGGATGGTTCTTGGATCACCTAACGAGGGCACCGCTGGGGATCGATTTTGAGCCAGCGGATGAGGAGAGCCTTGAGAATCAATCTCAATAGGGTTCCCAGCCGACAGGCTCTGGAAGAGAAATCAAGGACCAGGGGTCAGTTAGAGTCGGACCAGAATAGCTATAGGCCTTAAATTAGAGAGCTTACCCGGATCGATGAGGGCGGCGCAATTGGCGACGCATTTAGGATTGGTGGCCGTGATGACTCTCGAGAATCTATCTGGATTGGGGACCCCAGTGTACGGTCCTATGAATACAGGTACAAGATAGCTCAGCACATGTAACCAGGTTGACCGAATAAGAACAAGAACGGCATTGACTTACCCTCTCTAAGGGGTTGGACGGCTGGGGAAGACTCATTTGGGAACGAAGAGGGTACGGATTCGAGGCCCGAGGGCCAGGGGCATACTTGTTGTAACGAGGCATGGTTAAGAATAGTGCTAGTAGGGAAGGGTAGTCTGGAGAGGCGGCTGAGGGATGAGGTATAAAAATAACCGATGATCGAGTCGGTCTTTTATAAGCTAGACAGAGACAGTCACTCTGACCGGGAAAACTCACCAGCGCTGATACCTACACTACCTGGACTTCCAGACAAGGAAGGGCCAACGGACCCACGGGCAACCAGAAGAGCGCGCAAAGACCCAACGTGTACCTCCCTCACAGGAAGCCAGCTTTGGTTCTGGCCAATCAGACGACAGGATCTGGGGATGAGTTGCGGACCCTTACCTCTGTCCACAACCTGACCAACGAGCGCGCGTGATCCAGTCCTGTGTGACAAGCCATGGTCCAGGCATCCTCGTACAATCCGAAGAAACGTCAAGGCCCCACACATGTTTTTGACCTGGCCAGCGTGAAAGGATTTTTTTTGATCAGTGTAATGTAAAGTAAACACAGAGAAGAGAAAAAGAGAGAATCACTTACCGACGTGCTTGAGGCACGGAAAATCCGATCGAAGAAACAAAGAATGGTGAATGCGGTGGCGGTGGGGAACAGAGGGAATGTAGACCGGCTGGTTTACAGGACCTGCCTGCTCCCCAGGGCCCAGGGTATCCCAATTCCGGACCGGAACGGCGCACACGGAATGAGGCACCCGCGACTCGGCGCTCTCGACTGCGGCCGCAGCCTCCTCTCAACCTCGCGCGACCCGAATCAAAACTCAACCCCCGAACAATCTCAAAACCACTTGGGCCCCTCACAAGGGGTGTTGCAGCTAAAACCAAGGTAAACCAGCCACTCTACGTTGATGGAGCGGTCATCCAGACGTCCATTGCTGTGCAGCTGCGCCCAGCGCGCAGCAAAATCAAAATTTGTATGTAAAAAAATAAAAAAAATAAAAAATAAATAAAAATAAAAAAATAAATAAAAATAAAAATGCCCCCCTCACCTGTGCACTTTGGGCAGAAGGGGGGTACACAGGGGAAACCCTGTTAAATAAACTGTAAAAATTAAGTTTAAGGTTCAAAATCACAAATACGGCCACCCCAGCTTGGCTTCACTGCAAAGTTGGGGGAGGCTATCACACCCTTTTTCAACCACACTCATTCTTTCCCCATCTTTTTCCCTCTAAATACCCACTAAACTTTTCACTTCCTTTCATGTTTAAAAATTAACTCTTTTTCTATTTTTTTTTTTTTCCCCATTTTCTCCTGGTAAATTGTCTGGGGACAGACAATAAGTTGGGGGAGGCTGTGGTAGTCAAAAATGTGAAAATTAAAAGTTTTTTTCTTTTCTTTTCTTATATATATATTTCTTCATATTATCACCCAAACACTCTCAGAATTCACACCATACGGCTCAAGAACTGGACTCTACGGATAAATCCACCCTTGGTCACCACGGAGGCGTCACTGGAACACACCTGGATCAACTCTTACCCAACACTGGACAACATATCACAAGGATTTCACCCATCATTACATATCACCAAACTCAATTACAACCCTCAAGCTACACAGACACCCTCAGGACAGTACAAACCCCATTTACACATACACTCTTTACATTTCACTTCTACATATTACATCATACCTGCAGCCTAAATTAGTGTATTTTCCTTGCATGACAGCTGCAGCTTACACCACCACACTCACTTGTAAACACATCAGAACCTGACCAATCAGAATCACTCATTCAGCTGTTTGGATCACCACTTCAACACTTGTACATGTCTGACCAACCACATTCACTCATTCAAATTTTGTATGTAGCTAAGACACCTCATGTAATAGCCCAGGCCAGCCAAAATCACTCATTACTGGCTGCCCTGGAGCTAAATTCCCCCACTGTTGTATATATAAGGAGGCTCTCCTCCCAGCTGTTTAATCCTCAGTCAATTAACACTCAAGCAATATTTGACCACCCTTACACAACACTTGAAAGCGCCAACCAAACCAAATCAACAACTCTTCATCACGCAAACTCATTCCTGAACTTTACCCTATCACTTGATTAAAACTTGCCAAGCTGAGCTTGGTGGGTCTTGTTATCTGATAGTATAGAAGGGCAGAGCTTACACTCCATCATCCCCTTCTCCATTCAGCAAAAAGGGTCTTACAACCACTTTTTGAGTCTTACACCGCGCCCTTTGAGCACTAGCTCCGCTCCCCCTATCACCACCTCCACACCCAAACCACTCACCTGCAATCATCCATGCCTCCACCTTTGCTACCGCAAGGGCCAGGCCATGGCTCTGCTGTGGACATGTCCACCTTGGACGTCATGTATGTCACTGAGGGAGCACTGCCACAACAGGCAGACCCCACATTGACAAGGCCCCTGGTTGATTCCCTGATCTCCAGGTTGGAAAACTTGGAGAGAGCAGTGGCTGCTAAACCAGCCCCGCCAGCCCAGACCGAGAGGCAAGATTCATTCAACACCTTACTTGTAAGGTTTGAGGAAATTGCCAGTAACCTCTCCATGCTAGAGAAAAAAGTAGAAGGCCTGGCCTCAGCCCCTGGCCCCACTCCAGGTGCTGTCCCAGCGCTTCCGCCTAAGCCGACACCTCTCTACTCAGAGAAGGCCGCCGGAGCAAGAAGGGCGGGGGTGTTGACCAACGCCCCCATCTCCTTACCCCCAGTACCATCCTCCACCCACATCAATCGGTTCAAACTTGGCCAAGTCGTCATTTGAAAAAGGTTTGATCAGCCGAAACCTTTCAAGGGTCTGTCCGCAGCCCAAATCACCAAGAAGATCAACGAAGCTCTGAGCTTCGCCAAAGCACATTTAGAGGGTGAACCCATCACCTTCAAAGCAGTAGCTCAATTCCCCAATGGAGATATCAAAGTCTTCATCAAAGACCAACGAGCAGCCAAATGGCTCCTTGATAACAAACACCTATGGACAGCGCAGGCTGACCCAAAATTTATCACTTCCCAGACCACTCACCCAGTCCTCCTTCATTCTTGCCCATCCAGCTTTGAGGTGGATAACCCACAACATGTAGCATTGATCAACGGTGCAACATATACTATAAAATAAATTATTGCCCAATATTTTATATTGTATTGGTGTCCAGATAAAAAGTATCTTTAATAAATATATTATATCTGTTTGCCAATAAAATAAATTTGTATTTTATTGGCAAGCAGATATAATATATCTGTTTTGAATATATTGTATTGGCCAATAAAATAAAATATTGGCACAGTATCACAGGTATTCAATTTATTGTGTGTTAACTTCACTTATTTATTTAATTTTTTTTTGCAAGTCGGGGAAGTTACATTTGAAGTTAGAAATAAAGTCTTGTGATTTGCGCAAGGGAATTTACATAGGTAGAGATGAGAAAACTTTGAGCTAGGAAAAATTCACTCCTTCAAATGATCAGGGATACTCCTTGATTCTTCATAGGCCCTATCTTCCATTGCCTGAGTGATGATACTCTGTGCAGTTTCAAAAGAGTCATCCGGCTCAACCCCTTGGACCAACCATTGGTGAGAGCTTACACACCATTCTATTGTTTTTGCCGCTAGACTACCTAGATCTCCCCCACAAGTATCCGCTGCAGCCGAAAAACATCTCTCAACACTTGCAGAAGTAGCTGAACACGCCAGGTAGTCCCTGGCCAGAAGGGCTAAGACTGGGAATTCCTCGGCATGGTCCTTTCAAAGAAACAAATTAGAATTTTAATACATGTGGAGTAGGAGGAAATAAACATACCTTCCACCATTCCAAACACTGAGTAGCTTCAGAAGAAGGGAGCTTGTGTTTACCATCCAGATAAATAGAAAGCTTGTCTGCCAAAGGTTCCTTGCCTTTCTCAGGAAAGAAATCAATTTAATCCTCTTGATCCAGGTTGGTTGCCTTTTCTTTTGTTCCAATGAGTTCAGCGGATTCGTCTGGCAAGCTTGATAAAGTGATATTTACTTGAGCATTCCGGGTTTCAAAGAGTTCGTAGATTAAATCATGAGCATAATCATAGTGACTGGGGAAAGAGACCTTGAATATTGAAAGGCGGAGACTGGGATTGAGTATGGTCGCTATGAGTACTGCATCACACTTCATTGCCTCATTGAGATACGGTCTTGTCTTTTTTAGCATGGCTGCGAGCGTGGTTTTAAATTCTGGTTGAATCGAGCTAGAAAGGCTTTTCCTGATGAAGGTGATGATGTGCTGGTACTCGGAGATCATCAAGCAAGCAGAGGAGTTGTCACCTTCCATCTTCTTGGTGATAAAGTAGAACTCTTATGCAAAATGAATCACAAAAAGATTATTTTTTAGTGAAAATAAAACAGGGAATTGCTTAAAAATTGCAGACTAACTTACACCCAGAATTTTGTTTAATTGATTGACTACTTCCCACTCATCTCGACTTATCTCGGTGTCGTTATAGTAGTTCTTCCCCCCTTCTTGTTCCTGTCGATCCTTTTCATTTTCAATTAATTTTTTGATGATTCGACAAGCTTGATACGCCCGAGTACGACTTTCAAACTTTATGTTCCAGCAAATACCATACCCAGCAATAAGGCTAGGTCCATCAATCTCAAGCTTTTGTGACCAAGTTTTGTACTCAGATAGTTTGACTGCTGAGGATGTGATCCTCTGAATAAAAAAGTCAACCTAAATAATTTTATTTATAAAAAGATTAGTAACAATCAAACTTAATTCAATATCAAAACTTCAAACTCATGCAGCAATTGCTTTACCTTTTTTAAGATTTTATCAAGTGGATTCTTTCCTTCTTCAGCTTTTTCCCAGGATTCCAGGTCTGCGCTCTCCATTCCATCTATTACATCTTCGTCATTGGCCTCGTGTTCCACTTGGTGATTTTCATCCACTCCTAAGATAACGTCCTCAACAGTAAAATGAGGAACTTCTTCAATCTCTTCAGACTCTTCAATGATTGGGGCAAGTATGGGGACAAAACCAAGATTTTTGACTTGAGATGGAAGCAATCCGCTGGTTGGTAATTGAGTTGATTTAAGACCTGCATTAATGATGAGTGCGATCTTGTGGCAGAAACACCGGATGTGGTTTTTGGAAAGGTGAGGATTGATGCCGGTATTTTTGATCATGAGCCTGTCAACCTCAGAAGCCATGGTGAAGTTGTTTGATCCAGAGTCGGTTGTCTGAGCCAAGATGTATTGAAATAAAAAAAATTGTGTTGGTTCAGCTGATCAGACAAGCAAAAAAAATACAGAGGAACTAGACGTATCTTCTCCTGAAGTTTTGACTTTCTCAGAATGTTTGCAAATGGGATTGCTAAAAGCTTTCCCTTGTGGCTGGATGCAATGTACTTCATTCCAAGATGCAAGATTTTGAAGACCCAATCATCAGTGATATAAGCAACTGAGATCCCGAGAAATGTGTGGTGATTGCCTTTAGTGGTCCAGACATCGTGGATCAGGGTAAATTTAGAGCTCAGTTTCTGGAAAATCAGAATCATGTTCAAAGTCAGATGAGAGCTTCCAAATAACAGACGTCTTTGAGGGATTGACCCACTTTTAAGCTTGTAATCACTTTGCTCTGTAAATTCAAATAGAGACGATGTGCCTCGGTAGCCGCCCCCTCTCCAGGGAATAGATGGAGACACCATGCCTGACGTAATTGAAAGTGACATGAAGAAGGAAGTCGTCAAACCGGTTCCAAGGCATAGAATATCAAATCAGCCAGATTAACATGAGTTGATTGAAGACCCTGTTGTCAAAGGCAGCGTGTGTCAGAGATCCCTTGACCTTTGTTTTGTATCGATCATCGTCCTTCTTTGCGATATCTTTCTTTGACAATGGCAATTTGCACCCCGCCTCAATGGTCGCCAATCATCCTGAGCAGTGTGCACTCTTTTTAGTGCCATCGCGGTGCTTGAGCAGGTTTGAGTTTGTTCCGAGACCCTTCTTGTAGGGTTTACTGCACCACTTGCACTTGAAACTCAGTTTCTCTCCCTTAATAAAGAAAAACTATATCATCAGTAACTTTATCTGATGATTCTCTATGTTTGATCAGAGTTCAGAAACTTACTTTGTCCCTTTGTTGAGCATGAAATGGGGCCTCAAAGTAATCACGGATATTGTCGAGGTTACTAGTTTTCTTCTTGCTTGATCCCTGGACCTTTGAGTTTTCTTTGTCTGAGTCTTGAGTGTGATCGATGACACCGTACACTTTGTCAGAATCATCATCTGTGTTGGTAGTGATGGAGGACCTTGCTCTCTTGCCCTGCTTGGTTGAAGGAGGTTTACGTGTGTGCTTTTTCTTGGATTGCTGATTTGACGGGATTTGAACAACAGACTCGGCTTTGCTTTTGGAATCAAGACTATTCCCCTTTTGTTGAGATTGGCTAGTCGGTCCAACTGAACTTCGCAAGTCACGGCTAGGCCTAACGTAGCTAGAGCTTGTGGTTGGAGTGACAATACGAGTAGACTGACGGGAGGGTAGTCTAGAGGGGGTTCCGCGAGGAGTAACGGAGGATCTGGCCATTTCTGTGTGACCAAAGTAGCACTACTACATTGTTTAAATCTGGCTCCAATGGCGCGCGTACATTTTGTGATGTCATCAGAGAGTGATATTACACAGCTTTTTGTTTTTCATTGATCTTCTCTGTTTTCTCTATTTTTGTCTGTTGACCATTTCTTCTGTTGACCATCGATCATCCTGTTTTATTTCTACTAGTTGACCATTAAAAACATCAAACAACTTCAATCTTAATCTACCACTTTATTCTTATCTCTTATTCTCTTTAACCTTTTTATCTTATCTCCTTGTGTCCTCTTTTCCTGGGTTCCTTCCACCTTCGTCAAGGACTTATCCATCTGGGTTTAGGCTTATAGGTTCATATCTTTTTCTTTTCTTTACTCTCTTAACCGTGTATAAGTTCTAACAGTCGATTCATTCCATCAAAGTCTTCTAACCTAGTCATCGGCAGTTTCGTTTCTTTTCTTCTCTTATCTTTCATCCACAACGTGTTTCCTGCTTTATCTAGGTAATACTTTGTCTTATTACTCTGTTTTTATCTCTTTCATTATTCTAACTGAAATATTATGCTTTATCTAGCCAAAACTTCTCACTACAAATGTGGATGTTGGTGGCGGAGAGACTAACCGTCCAAATGTCCACACTGGGGGCAGAACCAATCAAACAAAATATTCAATTAATCAGTGATGATGGGATGGAGGCTTGGGGGCGGCACCCGTCAAAAGATGCAAAAAAATTGAAGTTTTGATTGCTCTAAGCAAGAAAAATTAGAAAAAATAAGAAGAATATATTTGGGGTGAATGAAATAAGATGATAAAAAGAAAGAACAAACATTTATGGTAGCTGAGGTTTGAGTGAGCAAGGTGAGAATTGAAAAGAAAAAGAGAATTGAGTTTGAGTTGATGGGAAGTTGGTTGGGGATTGTGAAAGTTGTGTGACTGGTGAGCTGGAATTGTAATCAAAGAAACCTTCAATCAAAATTCTGTGTTAATTTTGTTTGTGCGTGCTCCAATTGTAGCTGAATTATGTATAGGAAAGCAATTTGACTTGGCCACCAATGATCTGTTGCTTGGTTGACTTAGAATAAAAGAAGTATGGTCAGTGACCAGTCTTGCAAGTAAGAAGGTGGCAGGAGGGATTGTACATGGCTGACCTTTTGAAGGACCAGTCCACAATATAGCTAGCAATGAGGTGATGCAACTCGGCCAACAATCCATCGGTCGAGTTAGAATGACAGGATTTTACCGGGAAGTCGTTCCAATTCAAATTGGAACGGCTTACTCTTTGTTGAAGGAAGGTCTAAAGGGACCCACCAGATCCTAGACAAACAACTCGGCTAGGCCAATTCCTACAATGTGACCCAATCACTCAAAATGATAGTCAGTGATTGGTCTGACTACATGTACATAAGTCGTTCTGATTTTAATCGGAACAAATTGCTCATCAAGGTAGGGGAAGGACAATCTCTCAGGCTCAACTTTGAGAGAAATTGTCCTGGCCACGGGTGTCAAACAAACGGCTGGGAGTCTTGGTGGCCTCAGTTGTCAATTGATTGCCTCAATCCAAGCTTGACAGGAAAGATCCACGGCCTCAATAGATCAGCAAGGATTGGAAGGAGGCTAAGTGTCCGTGGCGTGAGCGTCAAACGATTGCCTTGATTGGAGCGTTGGAATTGATTGCCTCAATCCAAGCTTGACAGGAACGATCCACGGCCTCAATCAATCAGCAAGTATTGGAAGGAGGCTAAGTGGCCATGGCGTGAGCGTCAAATTAACACCTCAAGAGGCTCGGTGGCCACAGGCGTCAAACGATTGCCTCGATCGAAGCGTTGGTGGCTGCAGGTGTCAAACGAATCAAATCACGAATGACAATCAATCCAATCGTGCTGTTAGCACTTTCTGGTCTACAAATCAATTGATCAAGTGATTGAACAGTGCTGTTAGCACTTTTTGGTCTATGTGTACTTGCTTGACCCAAAAAAAAAAAAGAAGAAAAAAAAAACAATCAACAAGAGCTTTGGTTGATTGATATGAAAAGAAAAGACTTACCTGAGAATGTGGGATTGTATTCCTACCAGAGAGGCTAGTGGTGGGTTGATTGAGGTTGATTGCTGTTGATCAGTGATTTTTTGAAATCCACACTGATAATTTAAAGTAT